CCGTCACGGTCATCGTTAACCAAATTAGACAGCGTGCACCCCACTTGGTTCCTGCAATTGCTATCAAGACTGTGACGGGAGTAGTCTGTCAACGACAGCTTTTCCGGACTCATTTATGCAGAAGTAGCATCTTAGATATTCACCGTCTAATTGTTACGAATTCTTATTTTGCTAAGGTGGTTTATGTGAAGGTAACATTCTGTCTACAACAGCGTTGTCACTAACCCTCTTATCATTTGCTGGGATAACATTAAGCGACTGTCAAAGCGTCACCAACATTTGAACACGGTAGCCAATGCATTATGCACTGCTGTAGAGATGTTGCAAACCACCAGCCAAGAACGTCGGCAGCTACCCAATCTGAACTGAGCGGTGTCAAAATCTCCGGAGGTAATAAGCACATTTCAAGGACACATGCACCGCTATGCGTTTTCATGTCGTATTCACACCCCCAGACATGCATGGGTGAATAAATGCAGTAGACTTACATACCATTGGTGGGTCGGCAAATTAGTGCGCTCCAATCTCACCCTGACCTGCGCGGCTAGTCTACAAGCGGCTGAGCAGAATCGAAAGACTCTTATAAAACCCTTGGTAGATATATGCAGAAATGGACCCTATGATTTCAATTCCAGCTGCATGTTTGTTATATGTGGTGAGTAAGAACAGTACAGGTTCCTAAGCCAGGCGGTGGGCACGGAGTAAACTACACATTAATTTTTATTGAAATGGATGGTACTTAGAATGGTGTCAGTCTTTTGGTAAGTTTTGCACTTCCCACCTTGTGCCGAAGTGTTATTAGTCCGGAAAGCCCCCCCCTGGCAAGTGGCGCCTACGGCGGAATGCACCCCCTAGCCACACCTGTGAGGTGAGGGCCAGCGAAATCTGTACCATTTTACCCGCATGCTAGTGCATTGTACCAGGCTTTCAGCTTGGCACATTTTCTAAAGCAGTGCAGTACTTTCAAGTCAGGGGGGCTAAGAACGCTGTTTTTGCGTCGTTGACACTGTACTTGGTCAGGGAAGTTAAACAAAGTGACACCGGTTAGAAGCCCGCAGCATAAGCGACAGACGACCTAATGAAAGTGGTCGAGCACCACCTTCTGTTATATTTTGATGCCTATCTGACGGAAACCTCGATGATGGGACTCCAAAGCGAAACCGTCCAAAGCGCAAGTTTTGATGCCTGTCAAAGGAGGACATCCTAGCTACCACATGATCAGATTATTAAAACGTAACCAATACGGACAGACTTACTAACCAGCATAAGAAGCAGTCTAGAGTGATCGACAGCCGCTACCTCGTGGTGGCTTATTCAGCGGCCTAACCATGGTGGCGTAAACAGGCAATCTTCTAACTGATATTCCGCAGGTCAGCAACGGCTGCAACGGCCACAATTTAATAGCCCCAGAGCAACATGGCTTTCGTCAAAAGCATTCGTGTAATACTAACCTATTAATTGCACGTAATAGCTGGACTGAAGCTGTTGATGATGGAGTAGGGGTCGATGTCATCTACTTGGACTTCTCAAAAGCATTTGATCGCCTCAACCATCGCATTCTCCTTTACAAGCTTCGTAATTATGGCATTGGCGACCCAATCCTGAGTTGGATTGACAATTTTCTACAAGAACGACGGCTAGTGGTGAGAGTCCGAGAATCGTTGTCTGATGCAATCGATGTGGCGTGCGAAGTACCACAAGGCTCGGTTCTTGGACCTCGTCTATTCTTGGTGTTCATTAACGATTTGGCGAGATCAATTACTTCCGATTTCTTATTTTTCGCTGATGATATCAAGATATGGCGAAGGATCAGAGGGCCGGAAGACCATGAACGGCTCCAGTGCGATCTTAACAAGGTGTCGAACTGGTCACTTCAAAACGCCCTACCGTTCAATGTAGACAAATGTCGCGTCGTACAATTACGCCATAGACATAACTACACCTATTCACTTGGGACCAACGGACTGCAGAATAGCTCCCAGAAACGTGACCTAGGTGTGATCGTACAGAGCGACCTCAACTGTTCAAAACAGGCTGAGGTAGCTGCGAAAAGAGGCAACCAGCATGTCGGCATGCTGCGAAGAGCATTCGGGAGATTTGACCCATCAATCTTCCCAATGATGCACAATTCCTACGTGCGCCCGCATGTTGAATACGCTATCCAAGCTTGGCAACCTTGGTTGAAACGCGACCTAGAAGCGATAGAGGCACCACAACGGAGAGCAACAAGGAATGTGCAGGGTCTGCGCTACCACTCTTATCACCGAAGGCTGAAGTCGTTGGGAATTTTCAGCGGGCGCTATCGAAGACTGCGCGGAGATCTCATATTAGCCTATCAAATATTGAGTGACCCCAATCACGTATGCAGCCATTTGCTGAAACGTAGCCACAACACGCAGCTCAGGGGTAACTGCCTAAAGTTGCAGGAACAATACAGCCGTCTAGAGTGTCGACGGAATTACTTTTCCCTTCGGGTTTGCAAACCTTGGAACGCACTTCCTGACTTAGTTGTATCCTCTCCTACCCTGGATGTTTTCAAAAAACGATTAGATGTCGCTCTTAGCTCCCAACATTTTGTTACCTAAATTCTCCTACTGTGGATTACGCCAAGGATGAATTTCTACAGGCTTTATGTATCAAATGGACCTAAGTGAGCGACCATATTTTACTTTTCTCACTCTTTACCTCAATGATCACTGCACCCCAGTGTCTTTCTGCATGTTCCCGCCCGATAATTTATTTTAATTTTACACTGACGTTGCTTATCAAACTATTCATATCGGCAGACGTTCGATAGATGACCCAGACATATTTTGATTTTATCATATTCACCTCAACCATCCTACGGGACGTGTCAAGCACTTGCTTTTATCCCGTGATAAATCATTGTTCATTGTTCATTGTTCATTGTTCATTGGATGGTTATATAATTTTGTGCGATTGTTATTGCGACGATCATGGGGGACGTTGTTCCCATTGAAGTTGGTAGACCCACCTGAAGCTGAACAACGAAAGTTCCAGGTTCGCCTACTTCTATCACAGTTGATGACTCAACAAAAAATGTGAGGTTTTCAAGTGTGGCATTGACACGATGTTAGTGATTGTTCGTTTGTCCCTACATCCATAGGCTACTTTGTTAATCAGCTATCGCTTCAGGGTCTCTAGGTATGGCGTTGTGTAAAGCTCATAGGAACCTATGTATTCATAGGATATTTAGGCTTCACTTGCATATGGTCGCCCATAGGTGTTGAGACGCTTTTTCAAGTGGCTATCCGAATGGCACAATTAGAAACACAGACAATGCAGAGGGATCCCCCCCTATTACTTCTACGGACTGGAATGCTGTCCTTATGGAATCGGCATTACTCAACAAAGAAACACCTAAAGGGGCTACAATGACTTCGGTGTTTATACATACCACATCGTCCTGCTGGAAAAAACCCAAGGCTGATAATTAGTGGTGACGCAGGCATTTTACTCTGATAATTCAGGTGAGTACTTGGAACAGACAAACACTGTTGTCTCACCCACGGGCGTTCCTACAATGTGTTTGCAATAATTTACAATGGCAACCGCGCCCGCTAATTCTGCTATGGGCCACTGTTTCAGCTAGTTTTAGAAGCAGTCATGTGTGCATGCGTGACACATGTTGTTATCGAATTGGCAACTACTCGGAAACATTTTGTCATTGGAAAGTAAATAATTCCGGAGGTATGATTGAATGAGGAAAATTGCTCCAAACTATGCTTACCATGCATACGCAATACTTGTTGGCAAATCATATCAGGGCCGTAGGGTCACTTGGTATTTCAAGCCTAACAATCACTTGGAAGTGGAGTGTAAATATCATATTGTAACGCAGGATTGACATGCATCTTACGACCTTAACGTAACGGCAGGTCCATGGGTCCTGTAGCGGTACCTGATTACCGTAGTGACCCACAGATGTGGAGACGAACGAACACTCACTAATGTCGTGTCCCCGCCACATTTGGAACCCTCCTCTTGGGAACAATGTCTACAGATCCACATGATGGTCTTACCTACACAGCGAACTTGACCTTAGTACACAATACGTCGACTACATTCAACAATACGTAGCTACACTATTCACATGAGTGTACGGCCAACTGAAAAACACAGCACAAGAACTTTGTAGCTGTAAAGCTTTTAAAAGTGCTATTTGCGAAGATGTTCTAGCTTTACCTCCTCCATACGAATTACTACATTGTTTCTGATTACTTCACACTGCCTTAACAATCAAACGCAAATCCTAAGCGAAATCACACACCTATCGATTCTCCAGATTTCTCGCAGTGTCACGATTACACTATGCATACCATATCACGTGTAGCCAGATAGGCAAGCGAGCAAGAAAGGCAATCGCGCAATCAAACCGTAAGCCTCCAACACTTCTCTTCCAACAGCCTGCAAGTGTCGCAGCCTCAACACAATCAACAAATCGGCTTCCTATCACTACTCAATTAGATGTCATGCGCTGCTAATTGGGGCAGGATGCTGGGTATCTAGTGTGCTATTCACATGCTAGTCGCAAACGCTGACAAGTAAGAGGCATGCCAGTTAGAGCATCTAATGAATTATAAGAGCTGCTGGAGCTAGCTTTTATCACCAAGAACTACAGGTTATGCAAGACGGATATGACTAGCAATAATAGCAGCGTAGCGAATGACTCGGTGGGGAAGCGCAGTTGATCGAGCTTCATAATCATGCAAACAAATATGTGCTTACAAGGTAACAAAACCAATAAACGGCCAGTTGTAATATCTTGCGAATGTCTCTGATTCACTACACAGAGCCGTATGCAGTCTAAGTTCCGTGATTCGAATCAGGTCTGTTGGTGCCGGAAATGTTTTTGCACTGGAACTGGTTGACCAGCTCAATGGATGAACTTCACTATATCCTTAACTGCTTCTACTCGCTACAAATGCTGCGGCATCATATACTAGTTCTCATATCTTGCTTCATTTCGCAACTCACAGGGAAAAGAATATGGTTATTGAAATTTTGTGTTCAACGCTGGATGGTCGAAAGAGGTACTTTGCAAAGCCTACTGTGGATCACACAACAACGACTTATTCACCCAATGTTCCAACTTCGGTTGGTGAACTTATTCCAACACGCAATTCCAAGGTAAGTAGGTGACGCTCCCAAATCTGTTTACTTATGATGAAATCGCAAACTGAAAAGTATAGCGTTGAGTGTAGACGGGTTAAGTTGCTTATATCGAAGATAACAGTGGTCAGCGTCTGAGAGGCGTGGATGTTACCTTAATTTGCTGCATTCCAGTGGAAGGACTGTAAGTTGCGTATACTGGTGTACATGCGACAGACCAGTAAGACTGGAAGAACCGGACTTTGTATGGTGTGAACCACGTACTAAAGGGTCGCTGGATCTCCATTTTGGCCATGTGCTGAGTGAATGGTAAGTATGCATTAAGAATAAAATTAAGCTATTCCGTGAGAAACAACACCTCAGTGTGAGGATAATGACAACGTGCAGTTTACATGAAAATCCCTAAAGCAAGGGGTTGGTTACATTACATGATATTCCAGACCGTCCATAACATGTGGCAGCGGATTGATTCTGTAACAACGGGACTGAGTATTTGGTCTTGGATTACCATACTGCTTAGTTTGAAACTTAGCTACTCACCATCACCAATACTGGAGCAGCACTCCATAGACTCAGACGTCAGTTATCTCAAAATGTGATACCGGAGCAGTTTGTATCACACAATGTCCCTTAGTTCACCGCGGCGCTGCATCCAAGGCCTTAGCAACTGAGTTACACATTGGTGAACCAGCCAGCCCGCATCACAGGCATCCACTCAGATAGGCCGAGACAGTGTTGAAACTAGTCAAACGATTGCTATCCAAAATAGAGAGCCACTCGCAAGAATCTGTGTACCTTATTTGCAAAGCGAATAGCTATAATCCATTCTCCTGACATTTGTTCACGAAAAGCGCAGAACCTGTAGCGTGAAGCAGCATGTACAGTGATGAGGGAAACGGCCTTGTTAATGCGCCAAATTTAGCTACCACATGAACAACTACAAGAGAGTTAAGAAATCTAATGACTACTGATATACGGTGTTAGAAGGAAAGTGTTCCGGAGGAAACCTAAGTGAATGTTTTGAGGTAAGTGCCGGACCAAGCAATACTGGAAGTTTAAGAACAATGGGGAAAGGAGTGGCGAGTGTAGTGTGCGGGTAAAGGTCATACGACGTCTAAAATGAAGGGAAGAAATTCAGGGGACAAGTACAAGTCCACTGAGAAGATGGTGCCGTTAGCCGCAGCATCGCATGGACGACTGCATGCGCCAACGAACCCACGGTTCGCATGTGCGCGCAGACCCTCTACCCTCATGGGATAGAACATATGAATACTGTGCTTCCGGCTAAACACAAATGGTTGATGAACGGACAGACCAGAGTGCTTTCGTGAGTCAGATAAACATACGCACATGTTAGCTAAATGACCGCTACGAAACAAGTGTGACCAAGTTGCATGCGAATGATCGACAGCATTTTATGGCCACATGATCGACATTTGATTGGCCAGACCAAAATAGAAGGTTACGGCGGAGAACTGTTGCTGTTTTGGAGCAGTGTCTCATCATGGACCATGGTGATGCACATTGGCGAATTCTGTGCATGGCTGTTGCGTGGCTGTTGATCAGCGCGTGCTGATTCTTCGATTGCATGGTCAGTGCGGTTTAAATGCTGCAGAAACTGCGTGAGAAATAACAACACGAACGCGGAAATGCGACCCGTAAGTAGATGTTACGTTCTATAACTGGTGCAAAACGTTGAAAATAACTGGAAAACTGGCTGGCCTCATACCACTACAGCTGAGGTTTCGGCTTGCGTTGTTATCAGTGAAGTAACCGAAAATGTCGATCTCAGCATCAATAAAACAATGAAGCATTGTGTCACCACCAGCTACGCAGTTCAGCGGATTTTGAAAGAAACCAGCTACTCTCGGTATGGCTAACTTCAAGTGCAACTTTTGAGCCCCTGCCATTTGGAGAAACGACATGCATTTAGCTGCTGCTTCTTGGATCACATGGATATTCATTCCATTATTTGTACCGATGAATCTGTGTACCTTTGAACGGAATAGAGAAGCATTAATATTTGCAGTAGCTAATCCATGACGTTACAGAGCTTCGCGGATACAACATAGCCCAAAGGCCATGGGTTGAACCGAAATAACCGGTCGAAAAATCGTGAGCCCATTTTTCTTTTCCAGCAATATGACCAATAGGTTGTTTTCGTACATTACTAATGCCATGCCTCTCATAGCGTCGTCTAACAAGCAAATGCTTCAGACCTGCGTATTTCCACAGGTGGAGGCCGATGGGTTATGCAATAACACTTGGTGGCAAAATGATCGCGCACCTGCACATTATGCTCAAAGGGTTCATGATTATCTGAGCAGGATTATCGGCCACCGATGGATTGGTCGGGACAGACAAAAGGGGTGGACTGCCCGGTCACCCGATGTGAACCCCTTGGGTTTATTCTTATATGGTCATTTAAAGGGACGAGTTTATAAGACAAGGCCGAATTCATTGGAACAATTGAAATAGGACATATAAACAAATGTCGTGCCATTACCACGGAAACATTAGTGAAAGTGCTTGTCAACGATTTCTGCACTGCAAGCAGAACTCCTGTGGCCACTTTGAACATCTACTGCCTAATATCACCTCTTCACCCCGTCCGCTTAACTATACCTATCCGACCACACGTTTTTGTTGTCTTTCGGCGCTCAGCTCGGTGTTAGGGTTGAAAGAACGTCTGCATTGTACTGTCTGCTTTTCATGGCGGGGGTAGGAGCCACAGGTGGCGGAGATTAGCAATGGGGACCCGAGCGTTTGCTTGACGGCTAGTGATTTTGAAGAAGACACCATCATGTGCCTAATGAACAAGATGATAACGCGATAATAGGCTACCAAGTAAGATACCCTGTGGAGTTGGATGAGTAATTCAGAACATCGACTTACCGATAACACTCCTGGAGAAAACACAGGACCCATGCTTTTCCAACCAGTTAGCCCATCAAATGAGCTTGCTGGGTGGTGATAGGGATACTAGTCAGTAACGATGGCACGTATGAGACGTGTCAAATACGGGGCAGTAGAGAAGTTGGAGGCAGCTGGACCCGATGTATATTTTACAGGCTACAAGTAATGAGAAGCGAATCAGCAAAACCTGCGTGAGCTGAGCACAGCTAGGAATGAAGCGTCCAGAGTAGCTGACCAGACCACAAAATGGACGGATGAACTTGAAAGAGGTCGGAGCTAGAAAGTCCTTAATTTCCTGGACCTTATCAGGAAGAACTTCCATACCAGGCGATTAAACGAACTGACTTAGGAATTCCACCGTTGACTTGCCGAGTGCACACTTAGTCGGGTTGACAATGACACCATGTTAGGTCAAGGGCTGAAAAACAGAACAGAGGTGGTCGGGATGCTCTACTTTTGATGAAATGGTGACTAGAATATAGACGAGGTATGAATAAACGAAGTTTAGACCACGAATGACATCATGGATAAAGCGTTGAAACCTTTGCGTTGTCTTGCACAGTCCGGAATTCATTCTTAAAAATTCAAACAATCCTAAAGGAATGATGACGGCTGTTTTAGGATAGTTTTTTCTTTCGACTGGTATCTGGTGCCAAGCGCGAACCAAATCGATCTTATTAAAAATCGTTTTAACTGTGTGGCATGCGGTGAGGTCCTGCATGTGTGTGTGTACGCATTTGTGTGAAATTTATTTCGCTCAGTGCGATGACGGAGGCTCCTTCATAAACCAATCACGTTCCGTGCAAAAGAAGGGGGTTCGTTTGAACTTGATTAGTGCCTCCACAGGGAACAACGAGAGCCCTTCCAAAGTGCGGCATCAAAAATTACTCCCAAAACATCTGAGGACCTCAAGGTTTTTCCGGCCTTCGGACATCGTTACCTGCGGAGCATTATTGGGGTCTAACTATGCTGATGTGTCCGGATTGATGGGTATGTTGATGCGCACAAAGTTGCAACGGCCGTCAGTCCACCATGATAACCAGCGCATGACACGCTCTTTTACTAATCACTGGTCGTTTTTAAACCATCCCACAACATAATGCCCTTTTGGCATGGGTTCCCCGCCCCATGAACTAGATAGATATTTGGTTAGCATATTGCAACTCTTGACAAGGCTAACGAATACGTTCGTAACGAACTCTTATGACTTGGTGAGTAAAGTGTCGGGTCTTGAGGTTGAGTGGAATGAAACGATGGTCAGTTACGACGTTAGCTCGCTCTTTACCTACGTGTCATTACGCGACGCTTTGGAGATAGCGAAACACCGTCTAACTGGGGACAGTACCCTGGGAGAGAGGACAAAACCTACAGTAGATCAAATAACGGAAGGAATGATATTATGCCTTGTCTTATTTCACGTTCTAATTTAAATTATACAATTAGGAACAGGCATTTGCCTTGGGATCGACAATATTCACTGTATTGGCAAATTTGTACATGGAAACTTTGAAAGGAGGGCTCTGACTAACTCCTGTAGCTTATCGAAAATTTGTTGGTGATACGTCTATGACACCTTTATTACCATAAAACGGGATAAGCAAGACGAGTTTCTAAACCGCTTGAACACTCCTGTGGGGACTATAATTTTCACTATGGAATTGGCATATGGCAGTGAAACGTTGCCATTACTTGACCGCTTAGTTCACAAGAATAGGATAGTCTAAAAACTATGCTATATCGTAAGCCGAAGGAAACAGATAGTGTACTGCATTATAGTTCAGGTCACACAAAGCATGTGTATGCTGGAATCGCCTCATCACTGTTTCACAGAGCCCAGACCCTGTGCACAGAGGAAGAACATAGGAAGACCGCCCGGAAGGAAGTAATGAAAATCAATTGCTTGGTAGTGGATACCCGAGGCGATTACTAAAAAGCCAGTTGCAGCAAATTATAAATCCTCACCCACGGCGTACTACGGTGTGGATTGGAACAGTAGAAACTCCTCAGGAAGAGGCCATCCGGAAGGTTCTAAACAAAGAAAACATAGGGGTACTTTGCCAGCGAGGTCAAATTCTTTGCTCTACACTAGTGAATTTGAGAAA